GATCACGGATTGATATCAGTTAGAGAACCATTGAAAACCAGGGAGTACTGGACAGCTGCTATTTCATCCTAGTTTGGGAATCATTGGCAGTACGCAACCACTGCTATGGTTTTAACCGAGGACTTTTCGGTTTCAAGGCAAGCTCGTATACCATTCAGCCACTGGGACTCGATTCAATGGCTCATGAATTCTAACTTCTACCGATTTGTGATTTAGAGCGACCCCAACCATTGTCGTTGGTGGGGCATCCATCCACACCCGTGACATCTGGATGAACCTCACTACCAATGATTTCCAAACTATGATGAAACAGCTGTCTAGTACTCTAGTGCTGGTTTTCAATAGTTCTCTAACTGATATATCAGTCCGTGATCAACTCGTAAAAACATAACTATTCTTCACTGAGTCGTCTTTGAAAGTTGTTCGAGTGTGTCAGGTTAAAATGAAGTACCGTGGTGGTGAGATATAGACAATGTGTCCAAAGGAATATTATTTCACATCTTCTCAATACCGCATTGGCAACAGAATGATTTATGTATTTGAACATTCTGTTTCATGTCGTTTAATGTTACAGTATCGATTCATCCTCTCTCTTTTTTTTGTGGTTTTACGACTTAGCTCGGCTCAAGTATATTACTCTATATTATTATTATTCCCTTGGGTCCTGGGCGGAACATATGTAACAGTAGAAGACGGCAGATTAGGTAAATGAATGTTTACTTGGAATCTGGTATCTCTACTTAGCAAAATTACGTACACCTTATCTTCAAATCACCATTTGCACAAATCTTCCGTGTCGTGCTACTTCTGTCCTTTGTATTGTGTTTCTCTGTCTTCCTTTTCAAGTCTTCCATGTTTCTCCGCAAAGTCGAATCATTTGTCTTCTTTGACGTCAAATCTATCTCCCAGTTATTTGATATTTCTATACCGATGAACATCTCTTTATACACCACTCGTAAATCTTATCAGTAGCACACGCCATATATATATATATATATATATATATATATATATATATGCTTATCACAAATATCTGTCATGAAAGGAAAAGTAACGAAGTTTCTAGGATAAACTAAATATACAAACATATTTTTATTTCAAATTGTACATGTATGTCAGTGCTTAAAAAGTTTTTCCACATGGCAAATTACTGTTTCAAGGAATACAGTCTCTGTTGCACTCTTAGTTAATTCACTTGTATGTTTGCATGTCACTTCCTTCTACTGTAAAGGGAATATGTTTTCCATGTGTTTGCGTGTGTGTTGAGAACACGAATATTGTTTACAATGATTAATCATTGCGGTGTAACCGTTGTTTTTTTGTCTAAACTTTAATACTAACTGGATCCTATGAACATACTATTTAGATTATAATTATCTTAGTTCACGTAACAAAAACTCTTCGCTGCCTGTTATGCAGGCTGAAAAGATAGGAAGTTGAAGTGTAATAAAGTCAATTTTATTCGAATAAGTGCTTAACAGAATTTTTTTTCCTTTACGTTCCCAGTGGAACATATGGCCTCAAGCTAGTGGCTTGAAGTTTCTGTCGCAGTGTTTAATTTTACAGGATGGGGTCGCTAGCCTCATACCCAAGCTTTCCTCTTAGTGAGGTAAAGGAGTCACAAAGAATATTTCCAACAGCCTGTTGCAGACCATCAACAACTGTCTTCGCTCTATACTGAAGATCAGATGGCCGGAAAGAATCACCAACGAGAAACTATGGGAACAAACAAAACAAGAACCAATCGCCAACCAACAAGTATGCAGGAGAAAGTGGAGATGGATTGGACACTCGTTGAGGAGACCGCTGGGCGACATCACGCGTCAGACCATTGCTCGAGTGGAACCCGAAAGGGAAGCGGCGAGTGGGACGTCAGTGCAAGGGTGACATGGAGGAGATCGTGTGAAGAGGAGTTGAAAGATTATGGACTAACATGGATGCAGGTGAAAAGTACAGCAGAAGACAGAAGCAAATGGAGACGTGCAGTTGAAGCCCTATGTTCCACTAGGAACCCAAGGCAATAATCATAATAAGTGAAATACAGCTTCAAACCTGTATGTAAATGGAATTTTTTGGGTTGTTTTGCCACCTCACCTTCCCGAATTTAGGCATCAAGGCAGGATTGACAACTATTAAATAACAAAAGTCACTGAAGTCTAGAAAGATTCAGTGCATGCATATTTGATCTAATTTATTATTGTTATCATTAAGATTCTCTCAACCACTTTTTAGCCTTAGGTTAACTTACTTCGGCAGATGAATCTAATTAAATATTCTTTGAAACTGTTTTTTTATCTCTACTTGATGTAAAATTCGCTTTCTCGGTTATTGCTGTTGTCTTTGGTATCGTTTTCAAAAACAAGGAATGGATTATTTCTTATTTGTTTACAGTTTATCTTTGAATGCTTGAATTGTCTTCATCTTTTTTGACAACTAATTCCCACTGGTTGTGGTTATAACCAAATGCGCTAGATGGTGGGAAGATAAAATGACACTAAGTCTATTCACCAATTTGAAATATGAAATAAGCAGTCAGTCATTCTACTTGCTAGAGGTGTGTGTATTCAGTACTATGCAGGATTCATTGATTTCTTATCTTTCTTTCAGTAGTTAAAGAACTAATTTTTGTACAGGAAAAATAAATAAAATCTACCAGTGTGTAAACATACTCGTCATAAAAGTTGTAACTGATGCTCTGATTTAGTGTTTGAATATTCGATTACTTGTTATAACCGTGCTAAACTAATTTCAGGTTTGATCACGGATATACATCCGTTAGAGAACCATCGAACATCAGGCGCTAAAGGACAACTGTTTCATGGTAGTTTGCGATTCTTCACCAGTACGTATCCGTAACCTCACCGGGATCGAATCCAGGATCTTCAGGTTACAAAATGAGTTCATTCAGCCACTGGAACAAAATCCGATGACCCGCGAATTCTAATTTCTGTCATTTCGCTATTTGTGTGCCACTGCCAGTCAGTTATCTATGAGTATTTGTCATCACACCCCACCTGCCAGGCCCTACAGTTCATGGCCTGAGTGTGAATACCATCTCTCACTAGGACGCATATATATCCATCTCGCCAGTCCCAAAGGGGACTATTAGTTATTACCAACTATATATTATGAAATATTAATTTCATATATATTCCTATGAAATATATCTTTAAATCAGTTCTTTATTGTACATCAGTTTCTATTTTTGCAGTTAATGCAGTTCATTATCATAAAATACTGTTTTATGTTTTAGAGCTGTGTATTAACTAAGTAATCTTCCTTCTACTTTATAAGATCACTAAGCTTAGTGATGATATTTAACACATCAAATAATAAAGCTTGAAGAGCAATAAATAAGCTTCGTGGCTCAGCCTGAACTGTAAACCTTTGCCATAACAAATTTCTAGGTCACGAAATTTGTAGAAACAATGTTTCCTGTTTTCCAACATTTTCCAGCTTCAAATAGTATTTCTTGGCCTGTCATTTTCAGCTGACTGTATAAGACACGTTATTTGTGCTACACAGGATTATGAGTGAACTAGTATTTGGACACAACTATTATCAGGTAAATGAATAACCTAGCAACATATCTTAAGCTGTCAGCGCTGGTTTCCTCTTATAGAATTAGTTATTTATGAATGACTTAAAGTTGTTTTCTGTATACTTTTGAAAACAAAGTAGTTGTTCAGTTTACTGGTTCATCTTATGATATAAATTTTTGTTTTTTGTGGAAAATTCAGAGCAACCAAACAGAAACGTAGAGAAGCTTATTAAACTTTCTGTTCTTACTAGTTCAAGACTGTACTATCTTTTCAGTAATTTTTTAACTTCTTGTACGTTCCCAGTGGAAAATAGAGGTTTGAAGTTTTGGTAGGAGTGGTGTTTATTTTTACGGGATGGAGTCGCTAGCCTCATATCCGACCTTCCCTCTTTACCAGTCTTATTACTGGCTTAACGAGGTAAATAAGTGCGTCAGTGGCCGGGTATTGAACCTCGGGTCACATGCGTGGTTGACGAGCATTCTACCATTTTGCCACCGACGCACAATCTTTCTAGTCATACTAAAACAATATTAGTTGATTGTTGCCTTATAGAAAAAAGGGATAGTATGTTTCGATCACTTTTATGTGTATATTTTACTCTATATTGTATCAAATAGCTTTTCTGATGCTTTATGCATCATCAGGTGTGCATGCTGATAATTACTATATCTGTAAGTTAATTATTATCTCGAAAAATACCCATTTATTCATAAGTAAAAACACAGTTTTCGTTCAGCGAAGAAATTTCTTTTCAACGACTTCATTTTCAAGCTGTACAGTCGTATTTACAGCTTGAAAATGAAGTTAATTATTACTTTACCTACTGAGTGTGTTTTGTTTTTCAGACAGTAATGACGTTACACTTTTATGCCACCTATATTTACTTAAGTAGTTATTACTCAGCTACGGTTCGTGGACTTAAAGTAGCTCAAAATTTCCCTCGATGAATAATTTTAGTTTTCTTTAGATGTTATAAACGATACCTTTTCGATACCGAATTCAACTTTATAATTTAATGACACCCCGGTCTTTTCTTTTGTATTTTTATCCCCATATTTTTTATTTTTTTATTTTATTTTTTATTTCATTTATTTCTGATTTGCAGCTTGATTCCATACCGTATTTTTGGTACAAGTATGGAATTTTCAGCATGTGATATCGGTAGCCCAAATTTTGCAGGCCGACCATAGATATCAGATGTGTGTCGGGAGGGGATCGAACCTCGGACCATTTGCATGGTCGGTGAAAGTCCTAACCACGGTGCTACCGGCGCACAGTAGAAACTCGACTGAATACTATTCCTACTGATTGCCTGTAATGCAAAGCTATAAAGTGAATATCCGTCACATTTATAATATTATCAACAAACTGTTAAAGTAGTCAGCAGTCCAGAGGTTATCTTGTTATTATTATTAGATATCATTGAAATTTTATCTTAATTTTTTGTTTTTTCTTCAGCTATCTTCTATTCTGAATCCACCAGAGATATTTGGCATTCTGCTGGCAGCTGCTTTTCACGATGCAGATCACCCCGGTGTTAATCAGTCATATCTAGAGAAGACGGGAAGTTTTTTAGTTGATTTACATAAAGTAAGTATTGTAGGCTTACTGGTCCATTCTCTTCTCTCATATAGTAATCAACAAATCACCTAATTACCGTACACAAAATCTCAAATTTAGTAATTTATGGATTGCATAATCTAGATAAATGAAAGTGCGTTTCAGTGAATGGAGTGTTTACTACTTTGTAACCTGTCTTCTCCATGTCCAAAATCTATTCCACATACTTTAATCTAGTCAAATGGTTAAGATCACAAGATGTTTTCTCGCATTTGTGGCTTATAATCTGACATAAATATTTCTTGTTTCTTTACTCAGCCATGTTATTTATTAATTAATTTAATTTAGTTTGGTTGCAGTGTACATGTACATAATTCATCAATGGAATGATTTCGTTGGGAATGGTTTGACTTTAGTAAAGCTGTTATTTATGAACTGGCCGATCACTACAGCAGTGTATCTATTGTCAGAAAGAGAAGATGAAATGAGAACAGAAAAGTTCCATCATACAATAAATTTATTTGATAAAAACACAGTGATGCAGTAGTATTTACTGGCGACGTTTAAAAGCACAATCTATTGCTCATAATCATATCCTATCATATCATAACTCATTGGTTTCAATTAATTTATTAAGAGATTTGTTGCTGTTAATTTGGTTGCTTAGCAAAAACAAGTAGAATTTAAAATATCTTTAATTTTGCTTGTAGACCACTTAGAGTGATGTTGGAAACCACAGACCATTAATCTATTGATTTTTTAAAAGTTGTTCTGTAAGGCGAATTATAGCTTCAATCATAATAGAATATATAGGGCAATCAAAACCAACAAAACAGAGAAGTCATTCTGTAGAAATTGATCTGTACACAACTTTGACGTTTTATAAGCTGTTTATAAAACACAATTATTACCAAGGTTCATTTCTCTACTTCATTCTAGCCGATTTTTTATCTCACAGTCTGATAGAACGTTGAGTATTAATGGGGACCAGTTTCTGCGTACACATGATGCAGTAAACAAAACGGTGAAGAAAATGATTGAAAACAATATCACCGCTTGTTATTCAGTAAAAAATATTCTATGTAAAACAAATTAAAAAGAACAGAAGAAAAATCACTGACAGTATGAAGGCATGTCACATATTTAAGTGGAGAAAGCGTATAAATAAAATCATCTAACCTTTCTGTTTAACAAAGTTCTTACTTCATACCAAGTAATAATAGATTCTGTATGCACTGTTTGATTTCAACAGTCTCAGCCATCATAAGGTATAAAGACCAGGGCCTTGAGGTGAAAAATTTCCACTGGACTACATCATCCTTTGCTCTTTTCACTTAAAATGATAGCAAGATTGGGGCAAAAAAGTGAAGGTATACTGTCCTACTGAATTCGTCTTAGTTACGTGAGGAATTGGTTGCCTTAGTCTCACCCAAAACAAGCAGACTAGAATTTCTGAATAAGGAAGATAACTTTACAACTTTTAGATCATCATAATCTAGTTATTATATATGTCAACTACTCTTGCTAGTTAGTAACATGTGTGGCGTAGGAATTATATAATTTGGTAGTCTTCATTGAACTATTATAGCAACTACATGAATTACTGGTTTTCTTCACTTTATATGACAATATAGTGTTAGTTCTGTATGCAGTACACCTTTCCGAAGCGAGAATGTAGCTCATTTCTGCCGCAGACCACACATATTTTCAGTTAACCAACTATACAACTTGGTATCTTTAAAAATTCCATTTGTTTGCATTTCCAATAATGTTTTCATCATACAACCAAATTACTAGAACTATTTGGAACAGGATGAGGGGGCGAATTAGGAAACAAAAGCAGCAGTTTCTAAGATACTGGAACTATTTTTTGATCAGGGGAAGTAGTGATAATAAGTATCAGTTTCGTGTAATTGCTCATTGAGTACAACAGTCATTTCTGCACAATTTCAAAACTGTAATCTAACTTCCAAAACTTTCTACACTACAAAAGGAATAAAAATAATAAAAAATTCTACAATGACATTCTTTCTATATATTTACAACTATGGTAATGAAAATAACGCTAGTACCAGTAACATGATTACAATAAAGCAAATAAACAGGTCAGTGCATTCAACTTTTTCTCGTTTCGTCGTACAATAAAACATTATCTTTGTTTTATTTTTTTGTCTGCTTGGTAGGTTGAATGATTGCTTTTATCATATGTAAAATTTACAAAAAATCAATGCCTGTTCCCATAGTAATAATGATTTCCTTAAACTAGTTTTAGGATCATTTTGGACCTTTATCTCTCTCTCTCTCTCTTCCTCTCCTGATGTTGTTGTTGACCTTGTTTATTTCTATGCATATGCAATATTTCTCTGCATATCTCGTTATTTGTTTTTCTATCTTTCCTTTCATTCCACCTATCATTCTGGTGTGTTAAATTTCAACACAGGAGTTTTATACATGGACAGGGTGAGAGGCAAATAAATAACCAGATTATCTGACTCTCATTTATTCACGGTTATTCCGTCACTGCTTATCGACTTCCATACACGTATTACTTCTTCGGTATACGCGAATATCATAACATCAGATGCTAATTATTTCATTGCTCGTAAAAAAATATATTTCACACTTATCTTCATTATTTAAAAAACACATTTATTAAGCTATTCGTAGTGAATACGTAACACCTGTATTATCATATGATTACTATCGCCTCCTCCTTCCTTTTTTTAAAAGATTGAATAAAAGCCACTTCAAAGACAATGGTTCTACTTATCTGAATATAACATTTCGTTAATCTCAATGCATTAAGTATGGCTAACAAAAAGAACTATCTCCCCTGTTATATAGAAAAACTCGACAAAAAGGTGAATCAAAAATGGTATGTATTTTGCATGAATTGAGCAATCTAGCCAGTCCTCAAGTCAGAGAAGGTGGAAGTCTGTGCGTCAGGCTGTCCGTCTCTCCCCGTAAAACTGAACAACCTCTTTGTTACGCAAACTTCAAAGCACAGAAAAAAACCTTATTCTGTACTGGAGTCTGGTAGACTCATTTCGAGAATGTATGAAGCTGACGAGTGGCAGTCTTTGAAAAAGCAGTCGTCCAATACGTCCTGTTTCGACGGAAGCAAAAGTAAAGATAGGGACATGGAATGTTCGCACCATATCAGTGAAGCGCAACAGAACGAAGAAGCTCTCTTCAGACTCTTGTATCTTTAACGATTTTGTGATGGGAGGCAGCGTTTATGAGCACAAAGATATTCACAAGGGGACGTGGGTCTAATCATATAGAGACACCGAAAATCAGATAGATTTCATTTTAGTGTCAAGAATGTGGAGACGCAACTTACTGAAATCTGAAATTAACCGACACATTGCCAAACTACTTAAATACACTACAATAAATGCGTTCAAATTCTAGTTTGCTCAAAATCCTACTTATATTGGATGACTTAGCAACATGCTATTTACACTCAGCTCTTACTGAGATCAAGACCGAGAAGCGGATTAGGCGTAGATCCAGACCACTGTTTTTCCAGAGAGCCTTCAAAGTCAAGTTGAAATTCATCAATGAAGAAGAAGCTGGCCTTCGACTGCCATCTTCAACTTGCCCAGAAATGCTACTAACAGACACAGTACTACCAGTGAACATCAAATTTATAATTATTTTTTATTTTGATTACAGCTTGATTCCACACCGCATTTTCGGTGCAGGTACGGAATTTTCAGCATGTGATATCGGTAGCCCAAATTTTTCAGGCCAACCATAGATATCAGGTGTGTGTCGGCAGGGGGGCGAATCCCGGACCGTGTACATGATCGGCGAGAGTCCTAACCGCTGTGCCACTGACTCACCCATAAAACAGAAATCTTGAAGGTCATCAAGTTACCAAAAATGGGAAAAGCAGTAGAACCAGATGGAACCCCTCCGGGGGCACTGAAAATAGCCCCAAACATCAAGGTAGATATGCTCACTCCACTACTGCAGAATGATGTGAGAGTGAGGGAGAGGAAAGTCCACGGATTGGTAAAAATGCCGCCTTGATATACTATCACAGAAAAGTGAATTAAGCCTTTATAAGAACTAGCACGACACAATCTTGTTGTCCTCCACAGACATCGTCCTAGAAAAAACTTAAAGATAAAGGTTGGCAGAAGATATAACGAAAACGGGTCTTAAGACGAATGTAGTGAATACAGAGGTGATGAAGACACATAACCACCAGCAAAAACAGACACCAATCACCGTCTCAGGGAGAAATCTAATGGAAGTCGTGTCTTTCACTTACTGGAACCGGTCAGTGTCGTTTCAACTTCAGGAAGGCGGCATGGATGAAGGTATCAGAACTAGCTAGTATTAGATCAAAAAAGTGAGATAAGCGTTCATCTCTCAAAAATCAGTGCATAAATCTATAGTACTCACCACGAAGAGCAAGGCCCAAATTCTTGGAACTAATGTGCATAGGCCAATTATTCAAAACTAAACAGTTTTCGGTGGTTGCATGTATTGTTTGTTCATAGGCTACTGAAGCTGCTACTCGTATGAGAAACATAATCCTAATGAATTCCGCTTTCTCTACTTAACTTGGTATTTACTTTGTAAAAACGTTTGAAAAATTAAGATACTTATATTGACTCAGGGTATCAGATTAGTTGATTGATTATAATGATATAAAGAGAAGTGGATACTAATAAAAATGTTCGTCATATACCCGAGTTTCGTTTTTGTGTTCAAAAAGTTGCAATTTTTGTCAGTTTCGTTGATCCTAAAATTACGATTATTTTGCTTGAAGTTCTAAATATCAATCTGGGTGTTAACTTCGGAAAGTTGTCTTCCTATCATGCTACTATTTGCCATAACATTTGTTTGTAGAAATATGACTAAAGAGAAACGTATGTACTGCAATTAATAGTGTTATCTGAGCTGGTTGGTGTAGTTGCGGAGCTTTCGTCGTCTTTCTGGACGACATCTTCAGCGCAGTATTTAGCATAAAGTCAAATGATTTAAAATCTCCATGAATGATGATACAATTGCGT